CAGCGCAGTGATGCCCCCCTCCTGCAGGAGCCCCGTCCTCCTGCAGACCCCCTTTCCAGGCCCCAGTCCTCGCAGAGCCCCCACCTCCATACGGACCCCCCACCCTCTGCAGGACCCCCTCCATCCGCACAGCCCCCCAAAATCATCTGCACAGCCCCCCCACACCCGCACAGCCCCCCACCCTCTGCGGCCCCCTCCCCCCTTGTGGCCCCTTCCCTTTGTAGAACCCCAATAGCTTTAGAACCCCCAATATCCCTCTTACACCCCCAAACCTCTGCAGACCCCCCCCATCCTTCGTGCACCCTCCAACCTCCCCACTGCCCCCCGACACCGGTAGAACCCCCCCAGCCTTTGCGCAGCCTGCAGCCCCCCCCCCCTTCCCTTTACATCCCCCACCCCCATTTGCAGGTCACCCCTTCACCCCTTTCTCTCTCCCCACCCCCTTCGCCCCCCGCCCTCTTCCCCAGCCGCCCCCCCGCCCCCTCCCACGGCTCAGCGCGGTGCGGGGGGAGCGCAGCGCCGGTGGCTGCGGGGGGGGGGGGGGGGAGGCCGCGGGGCGGAGGGGAAGCGCCATACAAGGGCCGGATCCGGCCCCGCCCCCACTGCCTTCTTTGGGCCGTCGGTTCCGGCCCCCCCCCCCACAACCCCCCCCGGCGCGGAGCGACGCTGGGAGGAGCGGAGCGGGATCCCCCACCCCCCGGGAACGGAGCGCCGAGCAGCGCCGCAGCTCCGCGGGGTGGGCGGGGGGCAGCCCTACGGGGGGGGGGGGAGGGGGGGGGAGCGCATCCCCCCCCATCGGAGCATCCCCGCAGAGCGTTCCCACGCTCGGAGCCAAACGTCCCCCCCCCCCCAACAGTAGGTGCTCCGTTCTCCCTCCATAGATCCCCCCTTCTCCCCCGCTATAGGGGCCCGTTCCCCCCCTCCCCTCAATTCGCCCCCAGATGCGCCCATCTGCCCCTCTCCCAACAAGGGGAATCTGATCCCCCTCTGTGGGTGCCCGGCTCCCCCCCCCTCCCCCCATGGGTGCCTGGATCTCCCCACCCATCCCCATCCCCTCCCATGTGTTCCCGTTGCCCCTATATTGCCCCCATACTCTCCCCCTGTTCTCCCATCCCCCCCAAACCAGTTCCCATCCCCTCCCCCCATCCCCACCTCCCCCCACCCCCTGCATCTGAGTGCAGACCACATCTCCCCCCTCCCACCCCCCAACCTCAGCCGCAGAGTGTCGTCCCCCCCCCCATTCACCCCACACTTTATATGGGGGGAGCACAGCTCTGTTTTGCTGGCAGCCCTGGCTGCTCCATCACCCCATAACTGCAGCACTACCTGCATGCCCTGCCCAGCCCCACACTTGGCTGCACCCTATGGGGCACAAACCCACATGGAACCCACGGAGTTTGGGATTCCCCCCCTGTCCCCATTGGGCAGCCTCACTGAGGGCGACCCCAAACCCTCGCAGTGGGGTTGGAGAGCATCTCAAAGGCTGAGCTCATCCCATGGGGAGACCCCATCCCATGGGGAAACCCCCTCCTTGGGATCGACCCCATCCCATGGGACTGACCCCATCCTTGGGATCAACCCCATCCAACAGGACAGCCCCATCCAATGGGATCAACGTCATCCTATGGGATCAACCCCATCCAATGGGATCGGCCCCATCCCATGGGATCAACGTCATCCTTGGGATGAACCCCATTCCATGGGATCGACCCCATCCAATGGGATCAACGTCATCCTTGGGATCGGCCCCATCCAACAGGACAGCCCCATCCTATGGGATCAACGTCATCCTATGGGATCAACCCCATCCAATGGGATCGGCCCCATCCCATGGGACAACCCCACCCAGCACCTCTGTTTGAGGGCAGCGACCCCTTCGCTATGGGGCTGTGTTGGCTATGGGGCATCTCTGAGCTGTAGGGTGGCCGCCCCTTCCCCCAGCGCTCTCAGCCCAGGTTCCCCACGGGGTTTTGAGTTACGGCTGTGGTTGGATGGGGAGATCGGTTTGATCCTGGTTTGTCATCCCACACAGAGCCGTTCTGATCGGGGCGGATCGCCAAAATTCCGCTGCTGTCGGCGGCTGCAATGCAGGGATCCCATCTCCCACATGGGGGACATCCCATAGTCGCTATCACCAATATGGGATGTCACCCACGTCCCATAAGCCGACAGCAGAGCTGCCTTGGGGCGGCCAACGCAGCCAGGAACCCATCTGTGGGGCCGCCCCTGTGGGGCTGGGACAGCAATGGCACCTGATGGGTGATCCTTGGTCCCGTGACCCCGTGATTCATGGGGGTGGCCCTGCTGGGTTCTCCAGGGCATTCAAAAGGGGAACTGCTAATTTCTGCTCATTAATTAATGGTGGCACCCAAATGACGCCCAATCGGAGCTTCCCCATTGGAATCGTAATTCCAGGTCACAGCGAATCTGAAGGGTCCCATTGGAATCCTGCCCCAAATCTCACCCAACCTGGGGTCCCATTGGAATCCTGCCCCAAATCTCACCCAACCTGGGGGTCTCACCAGAAGCTGGGGCACAATGGGACCCCCCAGCCCCCCCCCAACCTCCCCCCTCAACCCCCCCAGTTCCCCTCCATCCCCCCCCCCATGGCGGGGGTCCCGGGAGCTCTCCGAGGTGCTGAATCCACCCCGCAGCCCTCGGGTTGGGGACGCGGAGCGGCGCTGCCTCAGCTCCGGCGCTATGGGGTCTGCCCGGATGCCAAGAGTGGGGCAGAAACTTGCAGGCTCTCCTCCCCACAACCCTTCGGATGTGCTGCAGATGTCGATCTGTAGGTCACAGAGTAGTAAACATTGTGGCTGATGGGGAAATGTCACCTACCCTGCTCCTACCCCCGGGCATGACTGTACCGGGGCCGCAACGCCCGCTCTTCTCGTGGTGTGGAGAAGGGCAACAAATCACGGCAGACGGGTGGGTGTAGGGGGGTGTTTGGTGAAGGGCTCATCAGATTTCTCGGGTTTTGTTTGTGAGCAGTGAGGTCTCACGGGCGGGATGAGGTGCTGCAGTTTGCAGAGTCCTCCCGGCTGTCAGAGACACTCAGAGGCCGGATGGGCGCCGGGTGATTTCAGCCCTGCTGTCATTTCGGGAGGAGGAGAGACTTTCTCTGCTGCTGTTGGGTGTGGGAAATCTTCCTCTGGGGCCAAACTCTGCCCCTGACCCACAGCACCTCGGGGCACAGCCGCGTCCCTCCCAGCACGAGGGTTTTCCTGCTCTGCCTTTGGCAGCCGCACGCCCTCCTACTCCAGAAATGCTCGCAAACGTGCTGATGTGGAAGCGGGGCCCACGTTCCCTCACTCCTCCCCTCGGGATGTGGGGTGGTGGCACCGGGACGCGGCTGCTCCCTCGGGATGCTCCGATGGCCCATTGGGCTCAGCTCCTCCCATGTGCTGAGCAGCGGGGGAGGACGGAGGGATGGGGGGCATCTGTGGGAGCCCCTCTGTGCCTCGGTTTCCCCATAGCGATGGGGAGCAGCGGCTTCGTGCAGCAGGGATCCAAGTGGGACCACTGGCAGCGCACAGCTGAGGGCGGCCCGAACCTCTGGGTCATCCCCAGAGCCTGGAGGACTTTGCTGTTGTCATGCAGAGATCAGCAGGGGAACAATAAGAAGATGGAAAAAAAACCGAGCTGTGGGTCCGGAGTGCGGAGCAGCACCGAGGGGCCGGGGCTGAGGGGCTGTGGGTCGCACTTATGGGGCCGCAGAGCTTTGGTCCTGACGCCGTGGGGCGAGCAGAGAGCGTGGATTTGTGGCCACGGCCCCCAGCATCGCTTCTCTCCATCCGAGATAGGAGGAGCGGGCCCACAGAGCTCCCCGGGGACGCACGTCGTGCAAATATCCCTCATTATTGCTAATTAATAAATGCCTCGTGCCGGAACTGATCCATGTGCTCCTCCTGGCAGCGGCACACGGGGGGCAGGCGGCCCCACGCACGCTTTCCCCCACGGCTCCAGCAGCCCAACATTCCTGCACGGCTCCTCCTGCCTCTCCCGGCCCCAGCGCGGCTCTGCAGTGGCAGCGCTGACAGCCGCCCCACGTGAGGCCCTGCAGGATGGGGGGCTTCCAGCCGCCCTCGATGCGGGCAGCGCCGGGCGTCCCCACGTCACATCTTCCCCAATGGGGCGCCCCCGTCCTGACCCACATCCCGGGGGCAGCGGCGAGCCTGGCTGCGCAGCGTGCTTGAGGAGCGGCCCAGAGCCGCAGGTTGGGCCATTATGTAGCGCGAGATAGCGCTAATTAATTGGCAGGTTGATACAGTTGTGCACTTAGATCACTGTCAGCTGATCCTGATCCCTTCTTGTGCAAGTGCTGGCGCTGGGGGAGCTCTGCTCTGCTCTCAGAAATGCGGGCTGCAGCCGTCCTGCCCCTCTGCCCCATTGCGTCCCACTGCTCCCCTGTGGCCCTTGCCCCTAAATCTGCGTTTTCATCCATCAGGTGTGGGATGGAGAGCGGCTCCTTCCTGCCCTCCTTGGTGGGATGGAAGCCCTCCCTTGGCTGGGAGAATCACGAAGCTCACAAAAGGCCTCCAAGACCCCCAAGCCTGACCCCAACCCATCCCCAGCGAGCCCCCATTTGCTCCGGGACGGGGCTGGTGGAGGAGCCCCAGCTGTGCCCACGGCCACCACGGGCGCAGCGTCACCAAGGGCTCCTCGAGTGCCACCTCCCCCCACCCCCAGCAACGCGTGGCACCGCAGCACCGCCGCCTCCTTTTGGCTCCGCCATGGGATCTCGCTGCCCCAGCGCCACTTTCTCACCCCCCCCCACCCCCCATCAGAAGAGGAACAAGAGAAAAAGCCGCAGCAGTGGAAAGTCGGGCTGACAAACACAAACAAAACTTCCTCTGGATGCTAAAAATGACACGCAGAGACAGAAAGGAGAGAAAAAAAAGGCGCTATCGGTGGCAATAGCGGAGCGCAGCTATTTCGGGGCCGGCTGTTCCATTGCAGCGCTGGGGTTGTGGCTGCCACTTCCCCAGGGATGTGACGTATTTCCTTTCCATCGCAAACTGATTTAGAAGCAAAACTTTCTACATTTAGGCAGCGAGAGGCTCAGCTTCTCTTTTCTCTCTCTTGCACCAGCGGTGAGTGAATGGAAGGGGGGACGCAGGGCTGCGGCCAATGCAGGGTGGCTGCGCGCCGCTTCCTTTTTTTTCTCTTTCTTTCTTTCTAATTGACCCCAAAGTGAGCAAACAAATCGTCGTTCATATTTTCCACGCTGCGACGGCCTTGTGAGCGTCCCAGCGAGAGCCTGCGGTCAGAGGCGGGCAGTGCTGCTGTCCCATGGCGCGCTGCGCTGTCACCGTGGGTCGCCCTCACTCGTGTCCTCATTCCTTCCGCTTCCATCCGTGCCCCCATCCTCATTCATTCCTATCCCCATCGCATTCCACTCTTATCCCATCCCAGCCCCATCCGTGTTTCCATCTCCCTTGCATTCCATTCTCATCCCGTTCTCATTCTTGTTCTCATCCCCATCCCCATCCCATCCTCATTCTCATTCCATCCCATCCTCATCCCATCCTTATCTCCACCCCATCTCCATCCCTGCTCCATCCCCACCCCAATCCCAACCCATCCCATCTCCATCCCATCCACACAAATATGCCATCCTCATCCCCATCCATCCCCGTCTTCACCCCATCCCCATCCCCAATGACCTCCCCACCCCCAACCCACCACAATAGGGCCATCCCCACCCCATCCCACCCCATCCCACCCAATCCCATCCCATCCCACCCCATCCCATCCCATCCCACCCCATCCCACCCCATCCCATCCCATCCCATCCCATCCCATCCCATCCCATCCCACCCCATCCCATCCCACCCCATCCCATCCCATCCCATCCCATCCCATCCCATCCCATCCCATCCCATCCCATCCCACTCTTCCCAATCCCCCCCCCATTGCCACCCCCATCCCATCCCCATCCCAATGTCTTCCACCCCACTGTGTGGCCGCCCCCCTCAGGGCTCCCCACCCCCGCACGCACAGACTGCAGATCCATTGATTTCCCACCCCATTTCCACCTCCCCAAGGGCCCGGAAGGACGGTGACCATTTCCCATCACATTTCCTCTCCCCTCCACCACCAGGAACAGCCGTGGAGTTGCAGTGAGCAGCGCGCATCCCTCCCTGCAGCGCTGCATGGGATGCAGCACATGATTCAGCCCCACTGGGTAAACAGCCTCTTCCTGCTGCAGGGAAAGTCCCGGCCGCATCGGAGCCCTGTGGCTGTGGGGTGGAAGCTGCTCTCGCTGCTCTCGCTGCGTTTGGGACGGGTTTGGGGCGAGATGCAGCACCTGGAGCTCGGCTGCGTCCTCTGACTGCTGCCCAGCGCCTCAGTTTCCCCACTCAGGCTCACGCTCCCACGCTGGGTTTGCTCCAAGCTCTGTGCCATGGGGGCATGAAATCAGCGAGGGCAGCGTGCGAGGAGAAAACCCGACTCTCGGGATGAAAGCCTAATTAAAGAGCTAATTACAGGGGAGGTCCGGCTGTGCGGCCGGCAGGCAGAGCTCTTCTGATTTACAGCTTTAATTTCGGTTTTGCTTTCCAAGAGAAGAGCAGGGATGGAGCCGCAGCAGCTCCCGCACTGCATCCCAGTGCCACCGCCCGGCCACACCGGGGCTGGATGCGAAGACCCGACGAACATCCGTGGGTTCAATTCAGCAAACAGCAAAGCTTCGAGGGGGGGCATCTTTGGGGTGCACAGGGAGCCCCCACAGCGGAGCTGCGCAGGGGGATTTGGGGTTCGGAGGAGGCTGGGAGCGCTGTGGGGTCTGAGCCCCTCTAATCCTCGTGGTGTTTGGTGAGGAATTGCGTCGAGGCCACGGGGGAGCCGAGCCGAAAGCGCTCCACGAAGTTCTGCAGCGACCAGGAGCCTGGGGGAGAGAGGAGAAGGGTGAGCGGGGCGGCATCCCGCTGCTGTGTGCAGCGCGACCGCGTCCTGCAAACGGCTCTGCACCGCCTGCAGGGGCCGGGCAGCGCTGCACCCTGCTGCGAGCCGCCCCTGGGGGGGGGACAGAGGATGGGGACCCCTCTCCGCCCCCACTGCTTCCTGCTGACCTTTGGGGCAGAGCTGCCCACGGCTTCCTCTGAGCCCACCCTGGAAATCCCCAGCGTGGGCATCCAAGGGGACACCAAAGGGACACCAAAGGGACACCAAAGGGACATCCAAAAAGACACCCAAAGGATCACCAAAGGGGCACCCAGGGGGGCATCCAAAGCGACACTCAAAGGGACACCAAAGGGAAACCAAAGGGACACCAAAGGGGCATCCAAACGGTCACCAAAGAGACACCAAAGGGACACCCAAGGGGACACCGAAGGGACACCAAAGGGGCATCCAAAAAGACACTCAAAGGGTCACCAAAGTGGCACCCAGGGGGGCATCCAAAGCGACACCCAAAGGGACACCAAAGAGACACCCAAGGGACACAGCCGTGGTGTGGGAACAGCCCCACTGATGATCTGACGATCCCTCCCATGTGCCCCCACCTCCCGCCACGCTCTGTGCCCCCCGTGGGCGCTGATGTGGAGCCGCTGCTGTGCCCAGGATGGAGACGATCGCCTCCATTAAGATCTCCCTTAGAAAGGATGGAAAAAGGATGGGAACCTCTCACGTCGGGGTCTGAATCCGTCCCCCCGCTCATCCCCCTGAGCACGGGCTCGGGGTCTCCCGGGGGTCCCGGAGCCGATCCTCCCGTCCCCAACTCTGTGGGTGCCTTTCATCCACGGGATGAAAGCCCCCACAAAGCCCAAGCGGAGCGCGGCGGGGCCCCGCGGGACGGGGCGAGAGCGAGACGCGGCTGCTCCCCCCTCCCCGGGGTGCCGGCAGCCCTAATTAATGTTTATGGATCCTCCCGAGAGGCGCGGATGAAAGCGGCCGGGACGAGGCTGCGTTATTACAGGGCTGCGCGCAGCGGCCCCGCACAGCGGGCCGAGGGTTTTTCCTGACCTACTTTCCTACCTGCGCTCGTGCTGCTCTCACCTCTCCATGTGGCTCCGTCCCGAAGGAAACCCCCAGGCAAACGCGGATGTGTCGGGGGCTTCCCCAGGTGGCTCCCAGCCCCGCATCCCCCCCCCCCTCTAAACCCAGCGATGTGGGGCAGCCCCAAACCGCGGGGCAGCGCAGCCACCCCTCCCGCGGCTGTGGGGCGTCCACAAAGGGCACCTCTGTGCCCATGGGCCCCAACGGCTCCGTGAGTCAGTGGGGCTGGGAGAGGAGGTTGTGGGGTCACCGTCTCCCCCCCCCATGCCTGAACAATGAGGCGTTTCATCCACACTTTGGTCCACTTTCAAACTCGTTTCCTGCAGGATTATATCATCGCTGGAGGAGGAGGAGAGGAGGAGGAGGAGGAGGAGGAGGAGGAGGAGGAGTGCACACAGGGGAAACTGAGGCACGGGGAGCGGGCACGGCTCTGCCAACCCCTTCGGACCCACAGCCTGAGGGTAGGGGGACATATGGGGCTGTTTTCTGTCCCCCCTCCGTACCCCTCTGCCCTGCGCCGGACCCCGCAGCACGTGGGGGCCATCGTTAATCAGCCCCATGGCACAGCTCTGCTGAGATTAATGATGGCCCAACGGAGGTGGGCGTGCGGCCGCTGCCCGCTTTTATCCCCATTAACCAACACTCGGAGACTTCGGCCGGGGCCGCGCTCTCGCCATCATCATCCTCACAGCAGCCTTCCTCGCTTCCCAGCCCCGAAGCCCAGCCCGGCATCGCCCCGCTGCGCTCAGCTCCTGCTTTCCTCGCCTGCTCCCTCTCCCTTCCAGCACCGGTCCGACCCGAATTTCTGGCTGGGCGGATCGAGGTCGGCTCATGAATCATTCCCCGATGTGAATCCGGACCCGTAAGGGGAGGAAGGCGGCACAGCGAGTCAATGCCCCGACCCCAAACCGTGCCACCTTCATTGGTGACACCAGCGGGAGGCAGCGACCCGCGGGCACAGCGCGACGGGCAAAAGCGGCGCCTCCATCCCTCGTGGGACGTGCGAGGGGTCTCTGTGCAAAGCGCTGCCGAAGGGAGTGGGGGGAAACGGGGAGAAGTGCCCCAAATCAGCTCTGAGGCTGCAGTCGGGTGGGTTTTCCTCCCCCGGCCCGGCTGGATGCCGAATTCCCCAACGGGACGCGGGGGATTTCCTAAGGTCGGGCAGCGCTGCGGACGGAGAGCTGCGAGCTCTGCCGCTCCGACGGGCGGCTCGGAGGTTCTGCAGCCCACAGAACTGTTATCTGCCATCCGCTCGCAGCGCAGAGGCGGCCGCCACCCCGCGGGGCCGCAGCTGAGCGCTGCCGGGTGCGGAACCGCCGCTGCACCGCTGGGCCTCGGGGAGGGAAGGAGGGAGGGGGTGGACGGAGCCGCTGCAAAAAGAGGAGTTGGGTGGGAGTGGACTCTAAAAGGGGGAAACTGAGGCCTGGAGAAGGAGGAGCCGCTTTGGGGTCGCAGCGCCCGGTCGCTGCGGGGCTCCGTCGGCAGGGAGGGGTGGGGGCGCCCGGAAGGAGCTGGGGCTGGGGGGGGAGACACGACAGGATCCATTCCCAACTTCCCCCCACGCAACAGAAACCGTTTTGCTTCAGAGCATCCCTGGAAAAACAGCTCCCAAAGGGGCGGTGCGGGGACGCCGCCGCTCCCCCGGCTCTACCAGCGGCCCCCACCCCCAACCCGGCACCGAAACGCCCCTCCGCACAGCGCCAACCCCTTCGGCCAGCAGCGGGTCACGGCCCCTCAGCCCCCCAGCCCTCCTTCGAGCCCCAGCGGAGAAGCACCGACGGACCCCCCCCCCCTTTCCCACCCGCCCACCCTGCGCTGTTCCCCATTCGCTCTCCGCGTCTCGGCGCTCGGAGCGCGGCTCGGGGAGGTCAGCTCGGGGCGCAGTGCCCTCTTCTGGAAGCTGCGGCCCCACCGCTCCTCCCGCAACGGCGGGTCCCACCGCCCCAATGGGCGCACGTGGGGTTGGTGGGGAGGAAGGGCTGATGGAGGTGATGCTCTCTCGGGGGGGGCTGGGGGGGGTCTGCTTTTTCCGGGAGTGGATTCGAGCATAAAGTGACAGAGGACAGACGGAGGCACCAGGCTGGCCAGGACGGGGGGCGCGGTGGGCTCAGGGTTAGGGGTGATGCTGGGGTGACAGCGGGTGATGCCGGCTCTGATGGAGGGAGCGGTGCTGCAAACAGGGTGACGAGAGGGGATTCATTTGGGGATGGGAAGCCTGAAGAGGGCTTTGTGGGACGGCCTGAGCATCCCAGCTCATGAGAGGCCTCAGGATGGATGGACGCAGAGCAGCTCTGCCAGGATCAGACCTTCCCCTCCTCATTGCTGGGGGCTGAGTGCTGTGCTGGAGTCTCTGCCTCATCCATCCGATCAAACCCTGCAGGCCCTCCCGGCTCTTTTAGGACCCTCTCCCTAAACGCTGGGAATACATGAGGCTGTGACACAGCAGCCAAAAGGTCAAATCCAGCCTTCAGCCCTTCAGACTCAGAGCTAATGAGCCAGGAAAGCGAACTGAGGGGCAGAACGACCCGCAGAGAGCCGTGCATGGGAGCTTTTCCCTGTGAGCCCATCCCCACCTCGTGTCCCTGCTCCGGCTGGGAGTTGGCCGGCGTTGTGTCACAGCCCTTGGAGCAATCCCTGTGCCACATCTCCAGCTCTGATCCCTATCAGAATGACAAAACTCCCACTGTGGGTTGGTTGGGGACGTGCGGGTGAGGTCTGAGCCCAACTCCACGGCCGCTGAGCCGCCCCCCTTTGTCCCCATCCGCTATTTGGTGACCCCCGCCCAGCTCAGGGCCATCCCACCCCATCACCCCAAGCTCATCCCCAGAGCAGCCCTGCGTGGGCCTCCCCACGCTGCAAACTCAGGATGGACGGACGGATGCGGCACCCAAAGCGACGCCCCGGGGCCCGGCTGCTCCTCACCCGCAGAGATGCGCTCCTCAGGACCCAGGATGATGCGTTCGCCCTCGGGCTGCTCGTACAGGCGCAGCTGGTAGCGGTGGTACCCGCTGCGGGGCGGCGGCGTGGGGCGGGCGTATTCTGTGGGTGCAAAGGGAGACGGGGGGGGTGAGCGGCGCCCCGCTGCGAGCATCGCCCTCTGCCCCACTCAGGCTCCCGTTTGGGAGGGCCGGGGCGGATGCCCGCCGTGTTGGGGTCGTTTCCTCCCTTTTCATGCCCCCGCTGCACCCCGCTGGAGCCCTGCACGTCTGCCCAGGTGTGGCTGCGTGCCACCAGCCGTGCCGCTGGGCTCCGCATGGGTGGCACACAGGGGTGTGATGGGGGCAGGCCGGGGGCTCCCCACCCCCGCTCTCCCCCTCTCCCCCCTCGCTGTGACCCCCCAGCGACGCGTCCCTCTGGCCTCTAAGCTGCACGGCTGCGTCTCGGCCTGACTTGAACCCAAACTCTTTATTCGTGCCACATCACAGAGGCGGTTGGGATTCACTCACTTTTATCTTCAGTTTTTCCTTCTGACTGTTCCCTCCCCCCCACCCAGAACCCCCACCTCCCCTTTTTCTTTGCTCTTA